GGAAAACTATAAAAATTCTAGACGAGAACATAGAAAACCCAGGTGGTCATGAGTTTGATGAGTTTTGCAGATACAACACCAAAAGATGATTCATGAAAGAAAAAAAAATTGTTAGACTTTATTAAATGTTTCTGTTCTGAAAAATACACTGTAAAGAGAATGGAAATGCAAGCCACAAAATGGGAGAAAATATTTGCAAACACATACATGATAAAGGTGTTGAATCCATATAAAACAGAAATCACTTAACTCTCAACAATAATAAAACAAATGACCCAAATCAAAATGGGCAAAACAGTTTGATCAGATACCCCACCAAAGACCTTAAAAACATATAACATGGAAAGATATGAAAATATGCCCAACACTCTTTGTAATTAGGAAACTGAAAATTTAAACAATGAGTTAGCACTTCATGTCTATCTGATGACTAAAATCCAATCCAAAGGCCTTAACAATACTATTCACTGGCAAGGTGCAGAACCAGAATAATTGTAACTTATTGTTGGTGGAGATGCAAAACCTTACACCACCTTCATAAGACAGTTTGGCAGTTTCTAACAAAGCTAAGCATAGTCTTACAATACAAACCAGCAGTCACGCTCCTAAGTATTTACCCAAATGCACTGAAACTTTATGTCCACATCAAAGCCTGAACACAAGTGTTTATAACAGTTTTATTCAAAATCACTTACAAGCAACTAAGATGTCCTTCAATAGGTGAATGGATAAACAAACTGTAGTGCCTCCATATAATGATATATTATTCAGTGAAAAAAAAATGAGCTATTAAGCTATAAAATATGTATGAGCCTTTAAAGCACATTACTACATGACAGAAGGACTCTGAATAGGCTACATATTATATGATTTCAATTAGATAATATTCTGGAAATAGGAAACCTATAGAGACAGTAAACAGATCAGTGGCTGCCAGGGGTTTGGAAGTGGGATAAACGGTGGGAACACAAGGGAATTTTTAGGGCAGTAAAACCATTTTGTATAACAGTGTAACGGTGGATATATACTATCATGCATTCATCAAAAAAGTGAAAGTTAATGAATGTAAATTAAAAAAAAATCATTTAAGACATCCAAGGATCCCATGATGGAAGGCAGATGGTGACCAAAAATATTCCATTTCAAATGTATGAAACAATCTCATTGAAGAGGGTGGAAGGAAAAGGTGCTGACCTATGTAACTTTGGAAAAGAATGGAATTATTAGACAAAAATCAAGAGAACTGCACATAAGCCCTGTATTCTAATTAATAAAGCAGTTTCCCATGGCAGAATGGGCTAAAAATTCTGATACATGTATATATGTATATATAATACATATGTACAGAGATTGAACAATTAAGTAACTGAATGAAAGACAGCAGGTTTCTCATACCAGTTTTTTACTTACAAAGACAAAACAAAAAAAATTAAAAAAAATTTCCATGGAGAAGTCCTGCCTCTCACATTGATGCAGGAAATATACAAGGTGAACCTGGAGGTCTAAAACATTTAATAGTGACAAAATAGAGGAAAAATTTCAGAAAACACAAAAACAAAGCATCTAGGTTGATAGGGGTATATCAAAAGATCCACTGAAAGGGCTCCCCATGGTCAAAGCTCAAATAATTTCAGCAATAAATAAAGTAATAATCCAAAATAAATAGCCATGGGTCCATTATATACATATATACATATGATTAAATAAATACATTTTGAGAGATGACTCAAATCTTTCATGCAGAAGAATTAGAAATATTTTATAAAGATATTCTGCCCTCAAGGAAAGGAGCACAACTGCTCATTCTTTGTGTGTGAGCTACACAAAGCAAAAAAAAGAAAAAGGGAATCATTGTAGTGGAGAAATCTGACAAACATCATTTTTGCCAGGTAATCAAGGTCAACATCAACAGCGATAAATCATTTTGATAACATGTACCCTTGACATGGTGTGATGAAAATGGCACATTATCCCTGAAGTCTTTTTATTAAAAACCTATAACTCTAACCATAAAAACAGACATCAGACAAATTCCAATAGAAGAGTATTCTACAAAATATCTAATGAGTACTCTTTAAAACTGGCCAGGTCATCAAAAACAAAGAAAATCTGAGAACTTGTTATAGCTAAGAGGAAACTTATGAGTTGTGACAACTAAAGGTCATAAGGTATCTCAGGTGGGATCCTGGAACAGACAATGGACATTAACTAAAAACTAAGAAAATTTGAATAACGTATGAATTTTAATGATAACACATCAACAGTGGCTCATTAATTGTAACAAATGTATCCAACTAATGTAAAGTGTTAATATAAGAGAAACTATATCTCTTCAATTTTTCTGTGAATCTAAAATAGTTATAACAATAGTTTATTCAAAAACAAGATTTATAGTTTTAATGGCTCCAAGAATTCATTAAAAAAGTAAAACAGAGAATTTAGAAATATCTTTGTATACGTATATCTATCTATATCCTCATATGAATGCATACATATGCATTTTCCAAAACATGAATCACCAGTGAGCTTATGAATAAATTTCAGCAGAATTAGTAATCAAAGGAATATTAATTAAAAGTTAAGACTATTCATTGATTATCAAACCATAAAAATTTAGATAACCCATAATTCTCTGCTAATTGGAAAATAAAAATAAAAACAATTTTTGAGAATATATACAAAACTTATCATTTAGACTTGTGTCACTGGACCTCCAGAATCTAATTCTAGTAATTCATTTTAAGAATCCCTTTTAATTTATTTCTGCCTAAAGATTTAGCACTATTTTCTTATTGGTTGTTTTAAAATGGCAAATAATAAAACAAGATAAATGTTCTAATAAAAGGAGATATGTTAAGTAATTATTGCTACACAAATGCATACAGCTACAGGGCGAACTATTATTCTAGAATTAAACATAATGTTTAAAAGTATATTAGTGACTTTATAAGTTGGCTAAATTAGAATACTTTAATATACCAAAACAGATTTACAAAATGATCTCTATTTTATAAATTCAAATAAACGTATGTTCAAGATGGCTCTGAGTGATCTTGCCTTCCGATATTCAAGGAGTGCCCTCCCACACTGAATCACAGATGGACCCTACAACCACTTCTATATGACAGAATTATGGTGCTAGTCCATAAAGGCATGCCATCTTGGTCTCCTGGATTGCTTCCTCGGGGAGAATCTCAGGCAGAAGCACATGATATGGGCAGACAGATGATGATGCTCATGGTAAATGATGGATGGAAATATTTATAAGTTCCCTTTACTTCTATGAAAGATAGAACAGTATATCTAATGGTTCCTTTTACTTCTGAATGAGGTAATGATGTACACATGTGTGTTCTGAGAGAACTTTGTTCCACATAGGAAAGGGTGTCACCATTGCAGTAAACTCTCATAAAAGGGACTACTGGACTCCATAGGTCAGCCTCGGTCAAAACTGGGAGAGCTACTAAAGGCACACTGAACAGGCACTGGAGTGGGAACTTGGTCCAACCAGAGTCATTTCCATGGACAGTGATTGTTTATGTTTAGTTCTTCCGTGTATATCTGAGGCTCCTCTGGAAGAGAAACTTAGCCTGTTTTACAGGTGGGAAAATCTGTGCCAAGCAACTAACAAATACAACTGTTTACATGTTATTACATGTGTGTATGTGTGTGTGTGCATGTGTGTGTGTGTGTTTGTGTTTGACCATTGTGAAAATAGGTCTTCATCTTGTTTCTAGAAACCTGTAGATTGCTTAGGCATATTACATGTTAAATATTGAAGTGCACACATTCTTTAATTCTTTCAACAAATATTTCTTGAGCGTCTCCTACACATAAGGTCTTACGATAAACTTTGGGGGTTATAATAGTAAGACAGAAGCCTAATGGAGCATGGCCTGGTAAGGACTGAATTGTGCTCCCTGCCCTATTCATATATTGAAGCCCTGACCCCTAGTATGATTGTGTTTGGAGTGGAGACAGTGCTTTTAAAGAAGTGATTGAGGTAAAGTGAGGTCATAAGGATGGGATTCTAATCCAATATGACTGGTGTCATTACAAGAAGAGGAAGAGATAGCAAGGATGCTTGCATACAGAGGAAAAGGCCACAAGAGGACACAGTCAAAAAAGCGGCCATCCATCTGCAAGCCAAGGGGACAGCAAGCCAAAGACAGAGGGCTCAGGAGAAATCAGCCTTCCTAGCCCCTTGATCTTGGATTTCCAACCTCTGTAACAGAAAATACACTTCTGTTGTTTATGCCACCAGACTGTGGTAATGCTATGAAAATCCTAGCCAACTAAACCATGGTCATGATGGAGAGGCTGGTAAAGAGCAGGGAACCCAGGTCCTGTAGCCTGCATACTGTGTTAAGGATTTGGTTATTGCTCCAAGTAAAATGTGAAGCCATAGAAATAGTGTAAGAAGAGAGGTAACGTGATAGTTTTTGAGTTCATGAAAAATCACTATGAAAGATTAGATTGTAAGTGAGCAAAAAGTACTGTAAGAGACCAGTTAGATGATTTAGGCAAATGAGATCATCATATTATAGTGAGCAGAGATGAAGATTTTTTCAATTAATTATTGCTGATAAATGGCAAACAGTAGATGAAACTTGAAGTATCTATTCTATTTGAAAAATTAGGGTTTAAGATAGGCTCAGTCAAAATAACTTTGAGAAATATTTAGATTTAGAATATTAATTTTGAGATATGATAAAGGCCTTAATGATGGAAAATCCAATAATGACAAATTTATTATACTTAACTATAATAAAGGAAAAGAATAATAGGTTTCAGAACAATGTTAAAACAAAAAAATTGTTGATTAAATTGCTTTATATCTTAATGCTTTACATTACAGATATGATTAACAAATATTTTCAAATAAATGTAAGTTACTTTTGATTTCAATATCTTGTTTGCATTCCAAGGTAAAATATATGTAATATACAATTACATCAAATAATAATATAGAAAATGAGTTTATAAAAACAAAAACTTACCATATTTGGAACATAAATCCTCAGTGAATGTTTGTAGTGGGTGTTATAGTATGTTTTTTCATGCATTATATCTGTTTTGCCTTAAATCTTCCTGACTTGCAACTGTATTTAGCACCTTTAATCTCTTTTTAAGTTTGATAGTGGTAATGGTGTCTCAGGTCACAAGACAATATGGAGAAATCACTAATCATCTAGAACAAAAAGGTTTTTGAAATAAATACATTTGTGTGGTGGAATCATGACAAATACAAATAGCAAATTACTTGAGAAATAATTATCATAGATATTAATCCATCACTGCTTCCATGCTGCTGCCTCCAGTCTGCAATAAATACTGCGTGGAACATTAGAAAATCAGTCATAATGAAATAAAGTTGGTTTCAGTCTTCAAAAGCCATGTGATCCTTCACTGAAAAGTAACACACTCATTATATATGAATAATCCAGACAAATGAGTCATTTGAGAATGCCAAAATTGGATTCTGAGTGGTGATATGAGCAACAGAAAAAACATTCGGAAAAAATTAGCTACTCATACTGTTAAGATATGTTGCTATTGTCTGGCTACAATCCTTCTCTCCTTTCTTAGGGGAGTCAAGACTAAACACCATTAAGAGTTCCTGATAGCATCTGAATTTGCTTTTTGGGTAATGGAAAATTAGATTACCCATAAATGACAACAGATAAATCTTACCTAATAAATCCAATTAAAACTGACAGATAAGTGTAAGTGTAGCCCCTAGATTATAACTATGGAGACAGAGCATAATTGTATTTGTCCTAAGACCTGATCATTTACCTGCCTCATGTAGAAATTGTGGGAGGTAGGCAAATACCCTTTACACTGCAGACTTGTCTGAGTCATAAAAATATGACTAGAAGAGGAGAGAGAATTAATGTCCAAAAAATGAAAAGGTACATGCTATTATGTACAAAATAAGCTACAAGGATATATTGTACAATACAGAGAGTAGAATATAGCCAATATTTTATAATAACTATAAATGGTATATAACTTTAAACAATTTAATAAAATTAAAAAGGAAGACAATTCAACAAGAAGACTCTGACTCCACTAGGAAGGGCAACATTAGGATATTGGGTATCCCAGGAGAAGAGAGGGAGAAAGGAGCAGAGAGTTTATTTAGATTAATAGCTGAGAACTTCCCAAACCTGGGGAAGGAACTGGATACATAAGTTCATGAAGTTAGAACTCCTAATTTATCTCAACGTAGAAATTTCTGCTTCAAGATACATTATATTAAATTTGTCAAACATCAATGTCATAGAAAGACTTTCAAAGGCAACCAGAAAAAAAAAAAAAGAATGGTAACCTACAAAGGTTATTAGCAGATTTCTCAGAGGGAAATCTACAGACAAATAGAGAGTGAACTGAGATATTCAATATATCGAAAGACAACAATTGTCAGACAAAAATACTCTATCTGGCAAAGATGCCATTCAGAATCTGAATTCAGGAGCAATAAACACTTTCCCAGACAAACAAAAGCTAGGAGAGTTCATCAAAACTCAACCTGCCTTATAAGAAATGTTGAAAGGAGCTTTTACCTGAAACAAAAAGGCAGAAGTACACAAAACTTTGAATAAGGTGATGAATAGACAACAGAATCAGAACTTTACAACACTATATCAGAATAGGTTGTTACACATCTATTTATAGCATAAAGTTTAATGGGAAAATGCAGTAAAAATAACTATAGGTATTTCAATGTGTGAGTAATGAACTCACAACATAAAAAAGGAATAGGTTGAGACAATAAAAATGTAAAAGAGAAAGAGGAAAAAGACAGAACCTGTATAGGCAAATGAAGATAAGGTGCTATCAGCAAAAATGGGCTATTTTATCTATGAGATGTCTTATGGAGAAAGACAGATACTGTATGGTTTCACTCATATGTGCAATATAAACAAAAATTTTAAAAAATAAACAAACCGAACCAAATAAAAGCAAATACATAGATACAGAGAACAGAGTAGTGGTTACCAGAGGGAAGGGTGGTGGTGAGGGGGACAGCAAAATGCATAAACGGGGTCAACTCTCTGATGGACAGAAACTAAATGAGTGTACAGTAGTGTACACAGAAGTCAAATATACTATTGTATACATAAAACATACATGGTTTTAAAACAATTTTAAATAAAACAAGGAAAAAAAACAGAAAGGTAGATTTTGGGAGAAAATATTTGCAAACCATGGATCTGAAACAGGACTCATATATTCACTATATTAAAAAATTGTCAAACTTAACAGTAAGAAAAACAAACAATTTAATTAGAAAATGGGCAAAAGACATGAAGAGACATTTCACTGAAAATAATACAAGGGTGATAAACACTTGGAAAGATATACAACATTCTTAGCTATTAGGAAAATGCAAATCAAAACCACAATGAATGAAATGTGAAATGAAAATCACAATGAAATGAAATACGAAATGAAAGTCACAATGAATCAAATACCACTATAAACCCAGCAGAAGAGCAAAAATAAAAACTAGTGACAATACACAATGCTGTGAGGGCGTGGAGAAACTGGATCTCTCATACACTACTGTTGGAATGTAAAATGGTACAGCCACTCTGCAATGTAATTTGGAAGTTTCTTTTTAAAAAAATTTAAAGTCATTTACCACATGACCTCACAATCAATCACATTTCTGGTTATTTATTCCAGAGAAATGAAAGTAAGTCCGCATAAAAGCTTGGACATGATTATGAATAGCAGCTTTATTTGTAATAGCCCCTAATTGGCAACAAATGAAATGTCCTAAAATACATGAAGTGTTAAA